GGGACAGCGGAGCCGCCCCTCGCCCGGGGCCGGCAGCCGAGGGAGAGCGCCCGGCCGCAGCCAGCCCCGTTCGCCCGCCTCGCTCAGACGCCCCAAATTCAATGTTTATTGTAAACTAGGAGTCGCTCCGAGTGGTTTAGGAGAGGCAGAGGGCAACGCCATCCCCGGCCCTTATCTGCGGGACGCACAGCGGGCCAGGCGGCTGCTGAGGGCTGCAGATGATCTCTGCCCGCGTCTCTGCCCCGAGCTCTGCCCCGTCCCACCGCCTCGGAGGACTCGCCACCAAGAGCCGCGACACCCGCCGCGAGGAATAACAGGCACGCGGCGCCTTTGAGCCCGTAACACTTTTCTGGCTCCGGCTCGGGCAAGCGCGCTGAGGGGACGTGGCAGCCCCCGGGAAGCCACGGCCCGATCGGTTTCGAGAACAAGACCCCAGAGCTGCGGGAATAAAAAGGCGACGCAAAGCCACGGGGCAGGCCAGGAACTCGTCTTGATCGATTCTGCCTCCCAGCCACTAATCCTCCCTAATCTCCTATTTGGTGGCATGTCACAACTCTCCCATCTAATCATTTGGTCTGCACTAACCCTCCTGGGTCACCGAAAGCTCTTCTTAGCGGCTTTGCTCGCAGCGGGTCAAGCGAGCACAGGTCTGGTGAAGCCAACAGCACAGGCAGACAACTCTGCCTCCTCACCCCCCAGCGCCGCGGAGGCAATACAGCTACACACAGCCGGCGGTTCCTCCGCAGAGGCCTCCAGCGCACTCTGCTTCTGGGCCCTCCTCGCCGGAGCACGGGATGTGGGGGCCATCACACGACGCCACCATTTGACCCCGCGTCCATCCCCTCCCTGCGGCTCTTTCGCACCGCAGCCCGTTGTACGCCCTAGTAAGAACGGGCTGAGCCAGCCCCAGCTCCCTTCCCGCGGCCCCTCCAGACCCCTCGCTCACTTTCTCCGCCCAATTCCGCCCTCCCCGGCCACGCCGCCCACGCACCTCACCTCTCCTCGTTGAGGCCACACATGCGAATCCGCTCTGTGCTGGTCCAGTTGTGCACCCCGCTATAGAGAGGTGCTGTAGAGATCATGACAGCTGCTCGTCACCGACCGGGACCTGCTGGGGCTCGAGGGGCCGCTCTGCCTACAAAAGAAAGACGGAGGGTTGGTAACTCTCCCCGGGATGCTTCCATTCAACCACGCTTCAGAGAGTCATCCCCAGCTTTGCTGCCAGGCAGACGGGGTACAATGCGCAAGATGCTGCACGTCGGTCTGGAAGAGGGCTAGAAGAAATCAGCAGCGCCTTGGGACAGAAGCCACAGTCCGCTCAGCCTCGTATTAAACAACTTTACTGCCAAAAAGCCTCTGGCTGCCCTGAGACTTTCACACGGGCACCTTCGCGCACATACACACCCCTGGGAGGATTCCTCCCCTTTTCTTCTCCTCCCTCCAGAGGGACCTCCAGCACCGGGTAGCGAGCTGCAAGACAGAGCTTTACCCAAGGTGATGGTCTGTTAAACTGCTGACATCCCCAAGGCTTCACGGGACTTTCATAAACCAGCCCACGGCGGGTTCAAAGGGGAAAGCCTCAAACAAGGAGGCAGCGGGGGGACCCTGGAGGGGAGCAGAGGTTTGCCACCGGTGCCGTGAAGTGATTATCCCCTCGCTCTGTCGGGAAGGAGCTGGTATTCCGTGGAGTCAGGGGTGGAAAGCATGAGGAAATCCAGAGATTCGTGAGCATCCAAGACACACCGTCGGCTGGGTGGAGCTTTCGAGGGAGAACGTTGCAGCCAATCGTGCAGCGCTGGGTGTTCAAGCATTAAGGCAGCTTTGCTGCTCAAGTCGTTCAGGGAAAAAGCAACGACGGAAGAGAGGATCTACTGTGCTAACAAGGGGACTCAGTTGAACCGAGCAGGACTGACTGCAAAAGGCAGAGAGATGCTGTCAAAGAGGTTCTTGGTCCACAGAAATACTAAACACCCGAAGGTAAAGCAAGCACAGAGCCACGGCAATGCTCTCAGTGCAGCGGGTGAGAGTGGGAAGAAGCTGAAAGCGACACGTGATCCCAAATCTCCGTCAGTTTTCTTTTCCCTGACAAACTCCTGGCGACACAAGCTCTGAACAGGACAAGAAGCAGCTTGCACCATCCGTTTATGCTGAAACGAGCCGCCAGCAGCTCCAGGGATCAAGCCGTGGAATTGAATGACTCCTCTGACCGCAGCTGCTGCCGGGGATCCTCACCGCGGCCCCGACATGCCAGCGGGGACCCTCCGGACAGAGACAAGGGCCAGGCACACGGGAGAAACCGGGGCAAGGCAGCTTGTTTGCAGAAAAGAAGCGACAGACCCATCTGCACGTACGAGGGCACAAGTGAGCAAACAGGCTAAGGAAATCAGAGGTCAGGAGGAGAGGGGGAAACCTGCTAAAAGACACGCACTGGAAGGTGGAAGAAATACTCCAGTATCTCATGACGGGGGAGCCGGGCAAACGCTAGAACAGAGAGCAGGGTCATACCCAAAGAGAATGAGAGGTGGCTTGGAGCAGGAAGGGGAGGAGTCTTTTGGTGCTTGGAGAGAAATGCAACATAAAGGAAATAGGGGAACAAACAATCTGCGGGGATTTCACCATCTTAGGCTAAACTGAAAGAAGGGGAGGAGAAAGGTTCTGCCCCTGAGCACACTGGCAGGACAGATGTTTCGGGAGAAATCAAAAGGGACCTTCTGCGCAACGGGGGAAGGCGACGCGCACGGCTGCGCCACGGGGAAGAGAAGTTGGAGACGAGCTGAAGCCTCAAACAAGCACAGATCAGGCGTGACCCGAGAATAGGTCTGGCAAGGGAAAAGTGATAACGGGGTGGTGCGAGGAGCTGGGAGAAAGCGCACGTTTTGGGTACTCAGGTAAGAGCTGGTCTACAGAGGAGGCATGACAGCCATGAGGAGAGAGCCGGGAGGACGCAGCAACGGAGATCGACACTGCTTCATGAATTCCTGGCCTCTATCCTCCACGGACGACGTGGGACACATGCCAAAGACAGGCATTTCACAGGGAACGAAGAAGAGCAGAAGAGAAAAAGAATCAAGGTTTCAACTAAGAGAAGGAATAAAATGGGGGGAAAAACAAGAGACGTGGTCTCAAGCACAAACCAGAGCGAACAGCGCCAGAACGGCATCCCTAAGAAGGCGGACCAGGAGGTTTCTTGAGAAACGCAGGGATGAGCAGCCTCCCGGTGCAACACCGAACAGAAAGAGCAACTGCAGCCCCGCCGGGTCAAAACACGCTTTTAGTCGAGTCGACACAAGGAAACCGAGCAAATCTCTCGTCTACACTGGTGCAGCTTGAAGCGCCTTTAAACGCATGTAATTAAAGTAGTAGGAACCCCTTGGAGAACGCAACTAGGGCATGGTTTCACATGCCTGTCTTCGAGCAGAAGAAGCCGTTGATGAAACTGTTGAAGCCCTTCTCTCCCCTCACCCCTTCAATCATGGCGCTGAAACTGCCCGGTGGCCCCGTAAATTTGACCAGGGAGTTGATCTCTGTTTAAAACCTTTTTTTTTTTTTTTTCTTTTTTTTTTTTTTTTCTTTTCCTGGCTGGACTGGTTTTAACCCATACCAGCCCCTAGACCAGGTTCACCAAGCGGGAGAGAGGGCACAGGCCGGCACAGAATCTGCTTAATCCACTACATCTGCCAAGGGAAGTGTATCTGAAACCACAGTCTTATTTTGATTTAGCTAAATAGGTGCCCAGCCAATTCTAATTAACTCCACAGAAAACTAGCTTAGAACAAAATAAGGACTTCAATATAGCATTTTGCGTGGAGACGCGCGTCGTGCGATAGTAAAGCTCCTTCACCTCTCAAAACAAAATGTGCTCTAAGAATCGTGAGCGAGAAAGGTGCCGAACGCATTCGACAAGCAGCCCTCGGAGAGGTTTTCAATGAAACTAACGTGGTGAATCAGAAGCGAGGGGCGGGGGGCGTTCATTGAGACAAAACCTCTCATCGTTTTGCAAAAGGAGGGGATGCTGCTCTGCAAACCAGTCTCTTCCAGGCTCCAGAAAAAGCAAAGCAGAAGATGTGTTCCCTGTAGTAAAAGCATGCTTTTACTCAGGTTAGCGACAACTTAGCTACACGTGGAAGTTCCCTTGGATTAAGTCAAAACATTACTGTCTCTTCTGAAATACCGCCATACAGCTGACGGAAACAAGTTTCCCAGATGAAGTTCTTCAGAAATGGATATTTTCCAATAATTACGTCTAAACAAATCCTCCTTGCGCTAACATCCCAACAGTGCTGAGACAACCGTAGTTTCACCGCAGGCCGAGCTGAGGATGGCAGGACAGGCTGCCGTAGCCCTCACCTACCAGCTCCCACACCACTGAAGAGCGTTAAGCCCGCGTAATCGCCATGTTGACCCCTGTTAAAACCCTGCCTGCTCCTTGCTTCTCAGGGATCCTAACTCGAGTTGCCCGAGGTGAGGCTTCCTAATTAAGTTTTCTGCTGCGGCGCTGCCCCTCACGCTCGCACCTCCCGCCCCAGCGTTAACGCGGCAGAGGGACGCAGGCGTTGCAAAGCAGACGCAGAAGCTACCCGCTCCCCCCGCCAAGCAAGAGTCACTCCTCAGCCGGATCAGCTCCCTGACCTGACTCAAGGCTCAGCTTCTCCAGCGCTTGCGGGGGCAAGCACGTAAGGCGACTTCTCTGGGCTGCCACTGAGCTTCCAGCCACAGGTAGCAGAGAGTTTGGTTTTTACCCGAGGGTTTGGTACTGTCAGTGTTTGCCCTAACAGATGTCGCGTCTGCGTACCCACTCCCGTACCGCTTTGATCAGGTCAGCCAGAGCCACGATCTCCGACAGCCGTCCACCTCTACGGCAGCTGGGGTGGACCCAGACCCACGGGTACAGAAAGGGGCTTTTCCCCCTTTCCCACAGAGACACCTTGTGCCAGCCACTGCTTCAAGGTGCGAACGCATTTGGCTTCAGGACCGTGCTGCCTTGACCCCCCAAGAAGCTTTTTGGGTGTTTTCCTGCTCTGTACATTTCCGAGTACCAAAACGGCTTGGATTTCAAGACTCTTACCTTTCCTCTCCCCCATCCCAGCACCAGCGCGAGCTACGCGCCAACAGATCGCCACTCTCGCAGCTGCACCCTGCCTAGGCAGGCACGAGGTGACGGGTATGGAAACACCAGCAGCCACTCTCCGAAAATCCCCCGGCGCAAGGCTTCCCTCCGCCTGGGCTCCGGGCAGGCGCATCATCCCCCAGCACAGGCGGGAGAGTACCGCACAACGGCATCGAGCGAAGGCCCGACGAGTGGCGACGCGCACCGTTGCCGGCAGCCAGGGTTCAGACGACGGCACAAGCTTCCCCGGGGCCAACAGCAGCTTTGTCTTTCCCCGCCACCCGAGCGGCAGCCGCGGCGGGAGCCTCGCAAGGCCGAGGGCCAGCTCCGGAGATCCTGCTGCGGGTCACGTCAGTAGGAACTCGGCGCAGCGCGGCAGGCAAAGCGATGCGCTCGGTTGGGCTCTGGGTCCTTTACGGCCACGGTAAAACGCTGCCCATCGGCGGTGCCTCCTCTCGCGCCGGCGGCACTCTCAGCCGCTGCGTTAAGTGGGCCAGCGGCACAGAGGACGGGAAGGGAGACTTTCCAGCCTTAGGGCGTCGCGAAGCAGAAAGCCCAACGCGTCCCTCTGCAGCAAGGGACCGGGAGACCGCGGTCGGTCGCCTTCCCACGGTGCTGTACGGCGCCTTTGGCCAGGGGGCACTGTGGAAGGCCAGGAGGAATGCACTTTGACCCTGGAAACACACCCGCAGGAGGTACCTTTGTAACAGTCATTCCCAGAGAGCAGCCAAACCTCGAAGGCAGGTTTTTTTCCCCCCCCGGATGGCTACAAAATATAAAACCACGTCAGCTGCTGGAAACTCAAGCGGGACTCGCCGCTCCGAGCGCATCGCCTGCAACCCGGCCGCTTCGACGGGAGCGAAAGCGGCGGAAGGCGGCGGCACGTGGCCCTGCGGCTCCTCAGCGGGGCTCGGACGGGCCAGAAGGAAACGGTCCGTGCCGACAGGAACGCTCTCCTTCACTTGCCATAGTTTG